AGTGTCATGCTTTCTTGGATAAGTGAATTTTACATGATTCAAGGGAAATATTTTGTTTTTTACTTCATTATGTAATTTTAATTCTTTTTGTGCTTTAAGTTTTTCATATTTTATTGAGGTTGTATTTTCCTGTTCATTCCTCTCCCATAGTATACTCTTGCAAAAGTAAACCTTACACTGGAATTGATATTTTATATTTTTAAATATAAAATATTGTAGCTGGCAGTTCTGAAAAGAAATCAAGTCTCTTCCCTCTATGAAATAATTTTTGTCAGAATGCATAGCCCTTATCGCACCAGAAAGAGGTAGGTAGGTAGGTAGGTAGGTAGGTAGGTAGGTAGGTAGGTAGGTAGGGGCGTGCGTGCGTGCGTGCGTGTGTGTGTGTGTCCACCTGCCCGCCAATGTCAGCATTCATAGGCTGCAGGAGGACATTGCATGTCTTTCTTTTTTACCATTAACCTTATTTCCTTTGAGATGGGATCTCTCAATGAGCCTGAAGCAAGGCTGGTGGCCAGAAAGTCCCAGTAATCCTGTGTCAAGCTTCCTCCACGTGGAGGTTACAGGTGTGTATAGCAACAACTGGAGGCATATATGGATCGTGAGGATTTGAACTCAGGCCCACATTTTCTTAAATGAAGTCTGGACCTTGATCATAGCTGGAACTCTGGCACTTTGACTTTGTCCTGAGAAGTAGTGTAAGGTGTTGCCCATGCTTTGTGTTGTTAAGACTGGTTTACGTCAAAGTGGTTTATGTCATTGGCTGTAGACATCCTTGACCTTGATTAGGGTAAAACAAAATTCAGCCTGCTGACTAGATTTCGTTGTTGATCAGAAAACTTCTGTGAAAAAATTTGCCTGTTTTGCAGATTCTTCAGGGCCCTTCTTGGAAGTATGTAATTTGTTCTGTGTGTCTGTCATTCCTTGGTGAGGACTGAGTGTTTCCTTGAGCTGACGTTTCTGTCAAATTCTTCGATAACTTCCCTGATCGTCTCCTTTAGTTTCATGCTTCACTAACCAGATTAAAACATGCATTGCTTTTAAAAAAATTTTTTCATTTCATGTGTGTGGATGGTTCACTTGTATGTACACTTGTCCTTTTGTGTATTGCCTGTGGAGGGAGTTAGAGGTGCCTGAGAGCCACCATGTTGGTGCTGGAAATTGAACTCCACTGTTCGTAACCTCTGAGCTCTCTCTCCAGCCACCTAACCTGTTTCTGTCTTCTGCTTAGACTTCTTGTCTCTCTAGAATCCTGTCTATGTGTCCTGAACCCCCACAGTGCTGAGGATGAACCCCAGAGCCTCATGTGCTCCCACTGAGCTGGGAGATCTCAGACAATGGCAGCTTCGTCTCTTACTTGTTCTGGCAGATTCACCGGAATTTGTGTAGTCAGCCCTTGTAACTTCGGGTTTTTCTTTTTGTGGGAGGCTTTGTTTATTGTTGTTTTGAGACGGTGTTTCACTGTGTAGCTCTCCCAGGCCTGGAACTCATTGTGTAGACAGACTAGTCTCAAACTCAGAGAGAACTCCCTGCCTCTGCCTCCCATGTGCTTGGATCAAAGGTGTGCACCACCACACCTGACATGATCCTAAAAATTTTTTTTTAATTGTTTCTTTATTTGTGTGTCTTCTCCCTCAGAAAAGGGCATTATAGCCTAGAGTTCCAGGCAGTTATGAGACATCAGGTGTAGATGTTGGGAACTTAACTCACGTCCTTTGGAAATGGTATGCTGCCACTACCCGGCCAGCCAGCACTCTTAACCATTGATCTGTCTCTTCAGCTCTGGCCAGTGAGGTCATTGTTTCTTTGCTGCTGTCGGCCCTCCCTTCTGAAACTTCAAGTAGAGTCAGTTCATGCATTTGAGTGACAGCCAACCTTCTTACAAGGCCTCCAAGACCTCTAATGCCTGTCAGGACCAGCCCTCTCTGAACTTGTTCCCAGCCCTAGTATGCTTCACCTCTTGGATATCGAATGTGACTGGGTCAGCTGGTCAGAGGCACTGGCCCTTTCCTCAGAGCCCACCTTCCTATGCCCTATGCTCCTTCCCTCACTGTCATTGAATCCGGCTCAGAAGGTCATCCCAAGTAGACTGTCTTCATCATTCGCAGGCTTCCTGGAACATAACGTCTGCCCTGGAGGAGATGCTTGTGTTTTCTGTTCCCAGCCTTCAGAGTGGTCGGAGCATAGGGGACACACTATGAGTAGATAACTACTATGATTTCAAGATGTGGTCTAGGCTAGATTTTGTTTTTCTTGCAGGTTATAATGTTACCTACTTCTCTTGAGCAGTTGATTAGCACATGCATTGAATATTGGTGGCATTCCTGCTGGAGAAAAACACTGCTTTAAACATCCATTTATTTATTTTTGGAGGGAAAGGCATTATGTGAGTGTTATTTCCTAAAACCGTGTGCATTAGTAGCTCAGAGCCATGAAGGAAAAATTGGTTCCTGTGGAAACTGAGAAGACTGGCAGGGCAGGCAGGACTGCTCTGCTGCAGCTGCTTCAGATTTTGCCTCTGCACTCACTGGCAGTGTGGCCTCATAGCAGCGACCTCTGCTTTATCAAGTGTGTGTGAGTGGGGCAGAACAACTTGGTCTGATACAGTTTACAGAGCTGTAGAAAGATTCTGAAGAGGGCTGTGCCCTGTGAACCTCACATGGCCACGAAGATCCTGAGTCTCTTCTGGCGTGCTTGGTGGAGAAAGTGAGCCACAGCTTTTTTTTTTTATGTTGCTAATACCACGGCCTACAGGGACTTGGGCAGAGCAGACCATTCATCTATGCAAAAGTTTTATGAGCACTAGAATACTTTTTCCTGAAATAGGCTTAGAATTAAAATTTTATCTGGAAGCGTCTATGGTATAGAAAGAAGTCGTCCAGTTTGCGCTGCATACTTTTGAGCTTCTGACCGTCACTGATGGCCAGGGCCATTGCTTCTTCCTCAGCCACCTCTCAGAGGTGGTTAACATTTTTTATTTTCCTCAATTCCCGAGGGTATTTGCCATGCTGATGGAGAGGACTTTTCTAGTGTATCAGAGTTGATCTATGGGCTTTGGAGAGATGTGTGTAATTTTTATGATTTTGGCATGACCGAGGAAAATTTTCTCTGCATCTGAAGCATATAATTGCAAACTGTTTTATCTGTTGTTGACTAAGTAAGCAGGACCAATCTTTTGTTTGTTTGCAGATGCTCTTCCTTATCTGGCCCTGGTAGCACGGGAAGCAGGTGGCTTGTCTGATCACTTGCCTCCTTTTGTTGCAGCTGCTTATGGAGGGCAGGGATCTGAGCTCCCAGCTCCTAGTTTTAGTCCCAAACACCTGGCGCTTAGACAATATTTAGCACCAATTGTTTCTCAGATGACATGAGATTTTGGGAAAGATGACAGATGATTATGGAAAATAAATTAATGATTATAGATAGGATCTCCAAAACTGACTTGTAAGCCCTCTCTCCCTTGGTAGAAAACTTTTCAAGATTTATGTTGGGTTGAAGTTTAAGATTCATTCTTTTCATTGTAGTCTCTTAGATCTTAAAATTTTGGGGGGAGGAGTGGTCATTTCTGGAGACATTCATTAAGGAGGCTACTGATAGTGGGAATTTAGAAGACTGTGAAAACCACCTAATAGTCCTTAAAGCTGGAGATTGGAATTTGCTACTTTTGTTTCGACAGGCATAATAAAGCTTTTTTTTTTTTTTTTTTTAAATCTCTTGAAACATAACTAGAATAGTTGGCTGAGAAGATGTGTGAGTCATAGCTAATCTAATTAGAGGTTGTTGGTTTTGGAATTGTCAGTCAGATACTGTTTGATTCTTGAAGCGAGCTTTGGAAGTTTGGAGAAGTGACTCCTGCAACATTGCCCATACTTGTGCCAATTGTTCTTTACACAGAACCGTTTACACTACAGGCTCCTTCCTTTTAGATTTCGGGTTGAAGTTATTTTTGTAGTTATTCCCATTATACATTGTAAAAACAGAAATTTAGTTTACACTCACCACTGAACAGCTTTTACTTTTAGTTAGGCAGTGAATGCCACATTGTGAGCTGGCGAGGCTCAGGTGTGTTTTTTTTTTTGTGTGTGTGTGTGTGTGTGTGTGTGTGTGTGTGCAGTGTTTGGTCACTGGTTTGTCTTTTCCACTATGGCTGGGGGGATGTTTTTTTATTGGAGTCATGAATAGTGGTGGATTTTTTTTTTTTTAATTTTTAAGATTTAATGGAAGCTCACAACTACCTATAAATCAGTCCAGTACCAGAGGATTCAATACCCCTCTTCTAATCTCTGTGGGTTCCTTCATGCAAGTGGTGCACATAAACTCAGGCAGGTACACATATACATAAAAGTAAATAAACAAATAAGATTTTCTTCCTTCCTTCCTTCCTTCCTTCCTTCCTTCCTTCCTTCCTTCCTTCCTTCCTTCCTTCCTTCCTTCCTTCCTTCCTTTCAAGATTTTTAGATCCATCAGTGTTTTCCTCCATCTTGTATGTACACCACATGCATTCAGTTCCTCTGGGGGCCGGAAGGGAGCATTGACTCTCCTGGAGCTGCAGTCCAGGCAGTTGTGAGCTGCTGAGCATTCTCTCCAGCTCCTTGTTTTTTTAAATACAAGGTCTCCTGAGTAAATTGGGAGTGTGGGTGGCAGGGGGGAGGGTAGAGGGAAAAGGGGAGGGAGGAAGGGGAGTGGAGAAAAAAAGTATAGCTCAATAAAAACAAGTCAAACAAACAAGCCCACCCTGCCTGTCCTGAAGCTAACTTTGTAGACCAGGTAGCCTTGACCGCTGCCTGCCCAGGACTGGGATCATAGGCATCCTGCACCACCAGTGCCTGGCTCAGCTCTGATTTAAAAACAACAACAACAACAACAACAACAAAAAACCCCATGTTATTTTAGGAAGGAAATAAGAGGAAACATTTAAGCAAAAAAAAAAACCCCATGTTATTTTAGGAAGGAAATAAGAGGAAACATTTAAGCATCAAAGAAAAACCAGTTTGACATCCTTTTTCCCCCCTCTCTCTTCTAGCATTTTTGAACCGTTGGGGTTGTTGGAGTGGTTGGATTTTCCCTGGAATTGAGTGAGAAATTCAGAAGACTGAAGCCCAGGCTTACTGTCTACCTTTCACGGAGGCCTAGCCGTGAGAGGACAGAAGAAGGCACGTGGCGAATCATGACAGCTGACAAAGATAAAGACAAAGACAAAGAGAAGGACCGGGACAGGGACCGGGACCGAGAGAGAGAGAAAAGAGACAAAGCAAGAGAGAGCGAGAATGCCAGGCCTCGAAGGAGCTGTACTTTAGAAGGAGGAGCCAAAAATTATGCTGAGAGTGATCACAGTGAGGATGAAGACAATGATAACAACAGTGCCACCACAGAGGAGTCCACAAAGAAGAACAAAAAGAAACCACCTAAAAAAAAGTCCCGCTATGAAAGGACAGACACTGGGGAGATAACATCTTACATCACCGAGGATGATGTCGTCTACAGACCAGGAGGTAAGAGCAGAACATTGGCGTCTGCCCAGGGCTCGTGGGAGAGAGATGGCCTCTGCCTCACTGGAATAGGAATAGGCCTCCTTTACTGTTGTGGGAGACCTGGCGTCCAGATGAGGTGGAGTAGCAGAATGAAGTCAGTGAGCCTTGAGCCCCGTTGTCTGTGTTGACAGCTCTGTGCTTGTGTCCTCCTCTTGCTCTTGGCCCCTGTCTGCCTTGTGTGTTTCGTTTCTAGACGACCTGCTCCCTAATGATGTTTGCTCTCTCACTCACTTATATACTTAGCTCTTTCCCTTTTCTTGCTCTGATTCATCTTCAGCCATACAGTAGGCTTGCAGAGGGAATACATACATAGCAGAGACAGGTAAACCTTATTCTGGGGAACAGGATAGTCTGTGTTGAAGTAGAATTGACCGGCAACTGGAGAAAGTTTTTGTTCGTTTGTTTTTTGTTGTTTAGGTTTTTTGTTTATTTTCTGAGACAAGGTCTTGCTGCTTAGCCATTGCTGTCCCACAACTTACTGTAGACCACAGAGATCTATCTACCTGTCTCTGCTTCCCGAGTGCTGGGAGTACCCTACCACCCTTGTGCCACCACCACCCAGCTCAGCTGACTTTTCTTTAAATGACCCTCAGAACTAGATTTAGAGGTTACAGGTATACCTTACCAAGGCATGGAGCAGTTTGCCCGTCAGTGGCAACAGGACAGCAACTGAGTTGCACATGTTCTGTATTTCTTTCAGTAGATGTAATCTGGCCGTCAGTGCACTGAATCTTGTGAGCCTGTTCAGAGAGAGCCAGACCCAGTGTGTAGATGAGATAGATTCTTTAAAGGGATGCAGAATCCATGGACGCCAGCCAAGCCTGCCTTCATTGGGCCAATCACCATGAATTCTACTAGTCTTTTGAGACCCTCCTTCTTACAGAGGCTAGTAAAACTATCATAGGTTGTTTTATTTGAATTATTAACACTGCTAAACCATGACAAGAATTTCATGGGAAGTATAATCAACACAATGGAGTCTTCCCCAGTGTGAAGTTTTTCCAACAATGGGATTAAAGGATGCACTATGTCATTAACTAGCACAGTCATTTCACTGAGAAGAACTCAGCTTCTGATTGTATTTGTATAAAGTTCCTTATTTTGGGGGAGCCATGTGGGAGGTGGTTTGGATTTTCAGAAAATAATCAGTATTAGATAACTCATGTTTACAACTATAATTTCCTTGGCTGACAGTTGAGAGGAGAGGTGTGTGATAGGAAGTTGTCCACGATAGAGCGTTGAGAGGGCTTGACGCTGTGCTGGGGGGCGTTAGTGCCCTGCAGGCTCCAGTGCTGTGCATGCTTCTCTTTAATTCAGACTCAGTCATGGACCTCAATGATGTCTCAGCCGCCCGTCTTCCAGAACACTACCACTTTGCTTACTGAGGGCCTCTTTAACTCAGGGTACTTTTTTGTGTTTTCGTGGTGTCATTTTGCTTTGGTTTGGTTTTGCCTTAAGAGACAGGGTCTGGTAAGCACAGACTGACCTGGAAAGCACTCTGCTGCCAGTGGTCTTAAACTGTGATCTCTTCTCCTGAAAGCAGGGACCACACACAGGTGTGTCACAGTGCTGGGCTGTCCATGCCGTGGTGATTCATGAGAAAGGAGTAATGTGTGTTGTTAGGGTGATTGTTGTTCACAGGTAGGAGAGACATTGTACTGTCCTTCTCTAGAAACAGCAGTGTAGCATGGTGGTGCTGTTGCACTGTTGGAGTCACTTCCAGCTGCAGTGTGCAGTGCCAAATGCCAGCCCTGCTCATCACACATAATATAGAATCTCCCTTTGTGTCTCTAGGAACATTCAGTATGTCAGGAGTCAGATGCTAAAGGGCGATGCTGCTCAGACTGTCCCCTTGCCAGAGGTGGATAGTTAGTTAACTCTGAGAAGTCCTACAGCCAAGAAAACCCCCTCAGACTATCCACTCAGAGGTGGATAGTTAGTTAACTCTGAGAAGTCCTACAGCCAAGAAAACCTCTTGGACACTGAACAGCACCTCTGTCTCTGCTGTTTATGGACGGTGACAATCTTTGCCGCTATCTCCCTAAAGAAACTAACTTTGAGGACACATGTTTGGCAAATGATGGCCACCTTTACAGCTTGACAGGAGGTTCCCCTTCTTGATATTTTCAAAGAAATGTGGGAGAGAAGATTGCTAAGGCTCGTTTACAAAACAGCTGGCTCTTATAAAGTACTTTGGGAAGTGTTGTTTGTACCCTTCCCCCAAGTGCTTACATCTGTGGATGCTCAGCTTTTTCTTTTGTCTTTTGCACAGTGCTGAGGATTCAACACAAGGTCTCAAGTGATCACCTGCCGATCTGTGTCCCCAGCCCCTCTAGTCTCTAGTCCCCCAGCCCCTCTAGTAAAAATGTGTAGCATTTCACATAAGCTGTGCATGTCATCTCATACTCTGCACTTACGTCATGTAGCTTACTCTGGATTCTTAGCACGATGGAAATGCTGTTCCATTGTTGTCTGGTCTGTGTATAATGACTGACACAGGTTTTTTTTTCACTAGTGGTTTTCTTTGTTCTTTTTCTGTGTAGTTTGAGACACCACCACACCCAGCTGAGCTCTTTTTTTTTTTTTTTTAATTATAGTTTCAAATAGGGTCCCATTAAGTCCCTCAGCAAGACTTGAACTTGTTACTCTCCTGCCTTGATCTCTGGAGCAGCTGGACCTAGGGCATGCACTGCTGTGCACATGGTGTCCTTTCTCCTTTCTTAGTTTTGAAGACTGTCTTATGTTGTCCCGCCTGGCTTTGAATCATTTCTATGTGGTTGAGGATGATTCTTGATCCTCCTGCTTTCCTTTCCTAAGCATTGGAAATACTGGCTCTTTAGTGACTCTCAAACATGTACGACCTCTACAGAGGGCTACAAGACAGGTCTTCCAGGGCTTGGTAGGTTTTGGACAGATCTTTAAATCGACCGTAATATGTGGAAAAATTTCATTTAGGTATCTCCAAAGTGTTGTTAGGAAAGAGCCCCATAGCTGGGAGGTGGTGATTCACACCTTTATTTTTTCTTTTCTTTCTTTCTTTTTCTTTTTTTGGTTTTTCGAGACAGGGTTTCTCTGTATTGCTTTGGAGGTTGTCCTGGAACCCCCTCTATAAACCAGGCTGGCCTGGAACTCAGAGAGATCCACCTGCCTCTGCCTCCCAAGTGCTGGGATTAAAGGCGTTGCGCCACCAACTCCTGATTCACATCTTTAATCTCAGCATTTGGGAAGCAGAGGCTAGTGAATCTCTTTGAGTTCCAAGACAGCCAGGGCTACATAGTGACACCCTATGTCAAAGCAAGCAAGCAAGCAAGCAAGCAAGCAAGCAAGCAAGCAAGGCAAGAATCCTGCAATGGAACTGAGGAGAGGCCGTTGTGTTCTTGCTCCCTGGGGCCAATTCTTCATTGAGGTTATTAGAAGTGAATCTGGTGTCATTTAGACTTTGTTAAGATTTAAGTTTGTGCACTCTCCTGCACAGAACTATTGTTGCCTTTGCTCTTCATCTCAGGAGCCATCTTTGTTCTGTCTTTAGGATCTCAGTGAACTCTTGTTAATACCACAACCCATGTCATTTTTGTCCAGGAGGACACTGCAGCCTTATCTTAGTTCTTAGTTCTTAGCTCAGTGGCATTGGCTTTGCATTTCCTTAATCAGGGTGTGTGTGGGAGTGTGTGTGTGTGTGTGTGCGCGCGCGCGCGCGCGCGCGCGCACGCGCATGCATGCGTGCATGCGTCCGGCCGTCTATATTTCTATTCAAACTTAGTAATAATTTTGTTTTGTTTGTATTTTGTGATGTGAAGCATTTCTTCGTCCGGCCGTCTATATTTCTATTCAAAATTAGTAATAATTTTGTTTTGTTTGTATTTTGTGATGTGAAGCATTTCTTCTTCTTTGGGTTTGTTTGTTTTCAAGAGAAGGTTTCTCTGTGCAACAGTCCTGGCTGTCCTGGAACTCGCTCTGTAGATCCCCGCCTGCCTCTGCCTCTGCCTCCCAAGTGCCAGGATCAAAGGTGTGTGCCACCATCACCCAGCTTAATTATTCTTTTATCAGTAAAAACTCTTGGGAGTCAGATATCAAGTAAAAACCTGATTGATCAGAGAAGTGGTGGTGAAGCAACCAGTGACCTCCTCTCCCTCTCCTATCTTGATCTAGAAGGGCTGAGCATCTTCCTAAGCTCCTCCCTAATACTTCCTGTGTCTCTCTATATGTCCTGGGTCCTCCAAAATCTCTGTGACTAATTTTGGTCAGCTAGTAGCTAGCTCCTTGTGATTGAAGGTAAACTTTATGCAGTCTCGGGAGTATCAGAGTATTATCAAAATATCCCACAACAGAGATGTATGATTTCTTTTGATGCAAAAATGGAATTAAACCGGGAAAAATCCAAATGAGGCAAAAGGAATTCTGGGTGTCCATTTGAATAAAATGAGAGGATACATAGTCTTAAAACAAAACAAAACAAGGCATGGTTGTGGTGGCTCATGGCTTCAATTCAAGCACTCTGGAGGTAGAGGCAGGGGCAGGTGGACTCTGAGTTCAAAGCAAGTTCCAGGACAAGCCAAGGATACACAGAGAAACTCTGTCTCCAAAAACAAAAAACCCCAAATAATCCTCCCCAAACCCAAACAACAACAACAAAAACCAACCCAACCAAACAAAAAAAAGCCCACAAAGGTTTAGGATGTTAAATGAATACAAAAGTATAATAGGGTATGATTCCTTTTAATGCAGCATTTCAAAATCGGCCCAAGTATTCTCTGAAATCAGAAGAGGTAGGTTATGGCTGTGGCCCATGAGCCATCATGAGAGGTGCCCAGGCTTCTTTCTAACCATTTTCTTTTCTTGGTGGTGCTTACATGAATTTGTCTATTCTTTAAAATTTTATTACACTTATCCCTTTCTATATATGTTAGTTCTTCAATGAAAAGCTTGCCACACCGCCCTGCCCTGCCCTGTCCTGCCCCCCA